CGGATCCCGGGGGAGGGGAGGGGGGGAAGCAGCGCTGCCTGAGGATAAGGGGGCTCCGCTCTTCAGCAGCATCTTATGGGTGGCCTGGGGCTTCCATGAAAGGGGAAAAAAAAAACCAAAAACAAACCAAAGCATACCAGCAGGAAAAACTGATATTGTTTCACTTTCCATTATTTTCTGTCATGAAAGATAAGGAAGCAGAAGGAGCAAACTGCTGTCCGAAAGCTGATAACGCTGAGCATAACAAACTAGGATCCTACTCCTCCCTTCATGCGCAAATGTCAACAGGCTGCTGTTTTACTGGAGAACATTTTCTGAGACTCTGTTATCACTTAGGGCGGAAGAGATGTAAAGGTTCTGGATATTTATGCTGCATGTCCAGGAGAGCTGTTCTCACCACCTACTGTTTTTTCTCCCACCCTAGCTTTTGCACTCTGTGCCTGCAGGAATGTCTTAAGCCGAAAAAGCCAGTTTGTGGTGTCTGCCGCAGTACCCTGTCGCCCGGCAGCAGAGCTCTGGACTTGGAAAAGCAAATTGAAACGACGGAAACCACTTGTAATGGCTGCAATAAAAAAGTATGAAAGTATTGGGAAATTAAGTGCATGAGGTGTGCCTGCTTGGCCAGAGGGAAATAAAGTGCTTGCTCTTCAGCTTTCTGCAGAATCGTGTCCAAATGTTTGTTCTGATAAGTACTAAAGATTTTATATAGGCAGCACCCAAATGTTGATGTTCTTTCCACAGTTTTTTATTGTTACCTCTTCAGGAAGTGAATTTCAGATGAAAAATACTGATTACAAATTATAGTAAAATATTGCTTCTGAAGTGGCTTCTGTGAGCACACCTCAGTGGGAGGAACATTGTAGTGAAACAGTGGATGTGGGTTTTGGACAGTGATCTCTTTGGCTTTTAAACAGAAATTTATTTGCTTCATTTGCAACAGTTATGAGTCAAAGTTGTCTTATACAGGTGGTGTATTCCATCAACATATTGTTTGTTAGTTTTCTGCATGTTGAATACCTGTATGGCATCCTTCCTGTCATTTCATTTCTCTTTGTAAAGTTGGACTTCTTAGCACTAATTGAATGTAACTTTTACTTATTGTAAATTTGAATTTTCATTAATGGGACTGAACAATTAGCAATCAGTCTACACCAAGATCTGTACTAAAAGCCAAATTATTTTCCATACACTGTCTTTTCTCCTCACTGACCAGGTAAACTGGCATATGAAGCATTATTTTTTTTATACTGGAGTATAGGTTAAGAAAGTGAGCTGTCCTGAACAGTGGTGTATTTGTAAAATATTACAGGCAGCAAAGTTACAGGTTAACTAATCTATGATCTCAAAGCTTTCCACCTCACCAGCTGAACTGTTTGGGTTTTCCTGCTTTAGCGCTGTCTGCAGAAAACTGCTTTGTTTTACACGTTTAGTAGTTCTTTACTGCTTAAAAGTGTAGAATTAACTGCAAATAGTTTAAATTAACCTTGCTATGCAATTGTTGCCTGCACAGATGTATCTCTCAAAGATGCGTAGCCATGCAGCTTCTTGTTCAAAGTACCAGAATTATATAATGGAAGGTGTGAAAGCTGTAACTAAAGAGCCACTTCACAACACCAGGTAACTAACTCTTCTCTGGAAATATCTGTCTTTTTTTGGTCATAAAAACAGGGCTGTCACTGATCAATCATGATAAAATCTCAATTTTGATTCTTCTGAGAAAAGTCCTTTTATCTTTAAAAAATTTAATTGCATTATGGGGTTTCATGTGAACTGTAGAATTTTGGAGTAAAAGCAGACTTTACCTCTTTGCTCAGTTTGGGTATTGGTTTAATCCTTAAACAGTTAAACACTGCAGCCTTAATCCTGCATCTGACTGTGCACGGGCAAGCCATTCTGCTTTCTATGCACTAGGCATCTTAAAGATCGGGATACTCAGTAAAAGTAGCTATTTTTCATTTAAAAATTTGTATCTCTGTCTCTTGATTGTAGTAACTTATAATGAAGGGAAATTGGAATTGACCGCAGTGCACTCATCTGCATTGTAACATACTGGGAGATACCATGTGCATTTAAAAAAACCCAAACAAACAAACAAAAAAACCAAAAAGCCCATGATGATAAGTAGCATTTATAATATTTGTAGAAGAGCTCTCATTCTGTGTAAATATGGATGATATTAGTAATTCCTTAAGCTATTGTTGGGAATTGAAAAGCTGATTCTTAAAATTAGCTTGTCTTAATTGCATAAATAAGGCTATTGCTTTAAATTATTTGTATTCTTAAGAGCTGATTAGACAACTTTTTTGTGTATTGAATCCTAAAACTTTTTTAACTTTCTTACAATGATAAATAACCTTTTTTTTTTTTTTCCTCCCCCAACTAGGAACTTCCCAAATCGCTTTACCTTTCCTTGTCCGTATTGCAGCGAGAAAAACTTTGATCAAGAAGGACTAGTTGAACACTGCAAAACATTGCACAGCATGGATGCAAAACAAGTGGTAATAAAAAGTCTTGGTGCAAGAATTGCAATGAAGTCTAGTCTTAAATCCCTTTGAAACAATGAATTAGAGACTTACTCTTGAAGTTAAGTACATATTTATAATTACTCCTGTTAAAGTCAAATGTGGGCATGCTGTTCATGCATTTAACTTTTACAGAATTTTGACGTTGGTTTTCAATACATTCTTTGGAGGTGACTAGTCTCTGTTCCTATTGCAGCTAGGTCACATCCTCCTTTCATATTTGAAAAATGGCAGACATCCAAAGTTAATTAGGCACAGTAACAAACAAAATTAATAAGATATCATTTCAGAAAGATGTCAGGCATTTAGTTTTCCCCTCTTCTGTTTTCAGCAAGAAGATATTATAAACCATTGGGAAAAATGCTTGCAAAAAATAGTCTATCATTCTAGTAATCTTTATCTGCTGATACTCCCTCTCATATAAAAGGAATTGCAAAACATGGAACTGAATTTGAAACTTTCATTTTCTGGCAAGTTTTTTGGAATTCCAAATTAGTTAGAAAAAATTGTTCCTTTTTTTCCTTAGAAAGAAGTGATCTTTGCAAAGGGGATCAAGGCAACTTTTTTGTTACTGAGAAATAAAGGCTGAAATCTTTTAAAGCAAACAGCTGTAGTCAATTGTGATTTTCAGAATGTAGAGCGAAGAGTAAACCATTGCAGTTTGGAGATCTAAGGCTTAAATTAAAATTGTTCAGGGTTATCTGAGGCTTTTGTATTAAATGTCCCAGCAAACTAATGACATCACTTTGCATATGGAGTGGTGATTGTCACAAACCTCAAACTTCAATCTTCCATGCTGTCTCTGTCCTGCCTTTCCTACTGTAGATGTTAAAGCAGTTAACCATTGGGCCTTAATTGGCTTTTTTTTGTTTTTCTTGAAGGTTTGCCCAATTTGTGCCTCAATGCCATGGGGAGATCCAAATTACAGGAGTGCTAACTTCATGGAGCACCTTCAAAGACGACATCGCTTTTCGTACGATACTTTTGTGGTATGTGTTTCCTCACCCTTGGAATACAGCCTGATGACTCTTAAAACCCAGCTCTTTCACATAGCCACTACTGTGAAATCTCATCCATGCAGATGGTATCATGAGAGAAATTGGATTATTGGCAAGTCAAAGGAAGAGAGCTTTTTTTTTTCTGTTCTTATTTGGTGTTGCATTAACCAGCATGGCTGTTGCAGTAAAAGAGTTTCTGTACCCTTTGTTTATAGGATTATGATGCTGATGAAGATGATATGATGGCACAGGTTTTGATGCGTTCTTTGCGGGATAAATGAACCAACTAGAAGATTAACTGTAAAACCAAGCTTCCATGGGGGGGAAATGCCCAGCATCTTCGCACTTCTCCCTGTACATCCCAAGATGAACTCAGGCATCCAGAAATACAGAAGACTCTTCAATCCCAATCTCCGTTTCAAGTCCTGGTTTGATATTTCTGTAACACTCTGTCTTTTGTTAACACTGTCTATGCCATTCGACCCTGTCAGTCTAATTTTCTTACTCCCTTCACACAAAGTTTAATTGTAGGTAACGTGGAGGAGACAAATCTGTTTTCCTTTACCTATGCCTGTTTCCTGGTTTCTTTTGCAGTTGTGTTCACTTGACTGTCTATAAACAAAACCATTCCAAGTGGAACGGCCTGAACTAGTTAATAAGTATCTCTTCCCCTATCTCATTCGCGCATCTTAAATGACAGTATGAGAGGTGTATTTGTAGCTGTTTTCCTTTAGTGAGACCTCTGTAGGTGCTACCTGTAATTGTCAGGCCAGCTCTCATTTAAAGTGACCTATGATGCCTGTGATTTCATAATGTTTCCCAGTGTTTAAATTCTTACATGCAGCCTCTCAACTATATGGAAAACACGTCTTCAGTATGAGTCTTCACACTACAAACTTTCTTGGCAAATCTTTGCACTTGTGTAAGCAACTAGTTCAAAATACTTTAGTTCTATGCATGATTATTACTTTTTTCCATACTTTTGACCATAATTTCTAGCCTGGAAAATAAAGTTTAATGTTGGTCTCAGTTAAAATGCATCATTTTTAAATATGTTAGCAAATATTAATCATATTTGCTGGCTTTATGATAAATTGGTGGTTTTGAAACTGGTTTTCTAGTGACTTTAAGCCTTATGCTGATAGGGGAATTCAGAAGGGTTTTTTTCAATACCTCTGCTTTCTATTTAAACTAGAATTTTTGTAAATTTTCCTAGTTTTTCCATCTCTCAAGGCAAGCTGGTAGCAAAATTTACCAATAATTCATAGTACTACCTTTGCATTACAGAATTTAACAGGTATTCTGAATTCCTGTTCTTTGTGTAAATGTTGCTAAAAGTAGCTGAAGCTGTACTTAGATTGTTTTCAATATAATATTAAATGTATAGTTTGCAGGTATAGCCTTCAAAGAAAAAGTAAAATATAACCCAGAAAGCAGGATGACAATTCCAGTACCTGGTAAATGGATACTCTATATTCAAGCCTACACTTTTACTACAGAGATTCCTTTTTAGTTTTAACATTTTCATTAACTGCACAGTCAAGATGCTGAGATCTAACAATCTAAGACACCTGACCAGAACTTGTAAATCACAGTAGTGTTGAAATATCTAGTCTAATTTAAAGCATGTTTAATTGGAGCAGTAGACCTGCACCACCACAGAATTGAGTATTAATTAATTTATTTGACGGGTAAACTTAATATCATCATGCTCTGCAGGCTGCAGCATAGCCTTATCCTTAAAACAATGAAACGCACCCCAGCTAAAACCTCTTGATTAAATTTTGTGTCCAGCCAGACCTCTAACACGTTGAACGAGGCTTTAGTATGTTTTCCCCAACTTGGTATGGGCTATTTAGACTCATCCTTAGGTATCTGCGTGGTGACTTGGAAGCTCAGTCTTGGCGGGTGGGGGAAATCATGGTACTGCAGAAGAAGTACTGTGTTTGGGGTTGGTTATTTTTAATGCTTGATCTGCAAAGCGATTACAAGGTATGAGTGGTTGGATGGGGATTTCTGGGTTCTGGCTAGAATGCAATTTGGTGATACCTGTTGACCGGAATCTAGATTTCTGCTCCTATTCTAAGTGCACTTCCATGCAATTCGGATAAAATGGTTGAGGAGCCGTTAGAAGCTTCCGAGCAATTACTTTGTCATGTTTTTGACGTTCGAAGGTGAGTTACAAATAAAGGTTGTTTAATTTATAAAATCCTATCTTTGTGTCAACTCTTGTCATTTCTTCCTTGTGATCCGTACGTTTCATTTTAGCACCTCCCTAAAAACACTTCTTGCCTGCTGTATAACACCACAGGGAGCACAACAGACATTGAGAAATGCAGAGACTTCAACTTTTGGCTTCCATTAAATATTTTGTAATGATTAGTTGCAACTTACATAAACTTTCAACCAGCAGGCCACTTAGGTTATGAAAAATAGTTCGGATCAAGATCAGAGCAAGTTCTGCAGGTGCAGCCTTGTATGTGAATACTCCTGTAAGCCATAGAAACAAACCCCCCTGGGGTTTCTTGTGAAATCGGGGAAGTGTGACTGCCTAGCTGGGCTTTTCTGTTGAGATCTTTACAGCTCCCATAGCTTCCACTCCCCTGGCTGTCAGGTTTGTGTCCTGGTTTCGGCTGGGGTAGAGTTAATTTTCTTCGTAGTAGATAGCATAGTGCTGTGTTTTGGATTTAGAAGAATGTTGATAACACACTGATGTTTTTAGTTGTTGCTAAGTAGTGCTCAGACTACTCAAGGACTTTCTGAGCTTCTGCTTGGCCAGGTGCATAACAAGCTGGGAGGGAGCGCAGCCAGGACAGCTGACCCAAACTGACCAAAGAGCTATTCCATACCATGTAACGTCATGCTCGGGGGGGAGTTAGTCAGTTGATCATGGAGAGAGTGATCATGGCTCAGGGAGTGATCACTGCTCGGGATGGGCTGGGCATCGGTCAGCAGGTGGTGAGCAATTGCATTGTGCATCACTTGTTTTATATATTCTGTATATTCTCTTATCATTATTATTATTACTATTGTTATTCTTCTCTCTTATTAAACTGTCTCTATCTCAACCCACGGGTCTTACTTTTTTTCCCAATTCTTTCCCCAATCCCACTGAGGGGGGGGGGGGGGGGTGAGTGAGCAGCTGCATGGTGCTTAGTTGCCAGCCAGGTTAAACCATAACAGTTTGTGATGTTGATATCCGCGTGTTGTGCTCAGTTTGGGTAGCTCCAAGTGAGGCGGCGAGGGCTGGCTTGCAGCGATGACCGGTCAGAAATTGCTTGTGCTGCGTGATTGTACCCTGCCTGCGCAGACCCCTTCCTTGACTGTACAACCTGGGTTTGATTTGCATTGATTTATTACTTGGGAATTATTTCACAGAAGGTACAGACCAAAAATACTGACTGGAAGATGCACACTAGTTCCACTTTAACTTTTGATTATGTTAGTGTTTGAGTAAGAAGTGATGCCCTGGCACCTGCTGGCTTGCTAACAGCAGAATTCACAGCACTGCTTTCTGTGCTGTGATGAGCATCCATAGAATTGCTCAGAGATAAACCTTGCCGCAGACTCCCACTTACTCCAGCTGCTGAGGAGCTTTGTGTCTCCATGCAGCTGATTTCATCAACTTAACAAATACAAGCCTGTTTGCACATGCTGTGGTATGTCTTACTGGTGCTTGCTGGTTGATTTTTAAAAAGATATTCTGTTGAGAGGCATGCGTGTTCTGTGTAAAGCCTTGATTCATCTCGTTTGTGTGCGGAAACTCGTGATGAAAAAAAGCCTTATTATGGAAGAAGTTAGTCTGGGCTTCTGAATCCAGTGGAGCATCACTGCGGAAGAGTGAGGTACTCGGCCAGAGCTGCTCTCACCTCGTCAGCAGCTGATCCTGTAGCCACAGCAAATCCCAAGTGCCCATTGTTGGTGATAACACAATCCAGCCACCTCGGACCTGTGAAATTCCCAGTGTCTGGCACAGGGAGTCAGCCTTAGGAGGACGATCAGCGCAGGGGGAAAGGGCAGGATGGGAGGAGACAGGCTTGCAGTTGAGCTTTTTTTTTTTTTTTTTTAAGTTAATCTGTCTCTAGTCAAAAACTCAAAAACTGACCCTAGTAGGCCTGATAAATTGTTGTCAGCATTAATTGCCTAACACAAAGGCATCGCTTCATCTGGAATTGCAGCAATCCCTGGTCTCCTTATGTTGGGGGGGATGAGATCTTGTAAAGGATCCCATCTATGATAAAGCAATAATGGTATATTCTGGGTCCTTGTGTCACCTCATTGACAAAGGCACAGCAAATTTGCTTCAAGGCCTTTGGCCAGCTATACTGGATGGTCACAGGTAAGACCAGCATAAGGATTAACCTCTTGCGCAATAGCAAGGCTAAGTCATGGAAAAGCAAATGAGGGATATGCTCATGGTCCTAAAGCTTTTCTTTGGTTTAAATATAGTAAAAATGACAACGGGGCATTTCCCTGTTTTAGGGGTGGAGCTTTGTTTTTCTAATGCGGAGCCTCATGTCACAGTTGTGTTGATCTGTGCTTCATTCTTCAAAAGCAACTCATTTTTTATCATAGAATCATTTGGTTGGAAAAGACCTTTAAGATCATCGAGTCCAACTGTACTGGTCCACTACTAAACCATATCTCTAATATGAAGTCATGCTCAGTATATAAACTGGGGGGAGATGGCTGGGGGAGAGGGATCACTGCTTGGGGACAGGCTGAGCATCGGTCAGCGGGTGGTCAGCAATTGCATCGTGCGTCACTCGTTTTGTATATGCTTTTATCATTATTTCCCCTTTCTTTTCTGCCCTATTAAATTGTCTTTATCTCAACCCACGAGTTTTACCTTTTTTCCGATTCTCTCTCCCATCCCACTGGGAAGGGAGGGAAGGGAATGAGCAAATGGCTGTGTGGTGTTTAGCTGCCTGCTGGGTTAAACTACATTATTCTTCAGGTGATACAAATGCGGACTGTTGAAACCACTATGAAAACTTCCTTTTCCTTCCCCAAAACTCCAGAAGATACTCAGTGCTTAGCAAAAAGAAGTGTGGTTGCTACAGGCTTGGGTTTCTTTTCTAGTTCTTCTCACGTTTGTTGTCTTTACCTAGTACTTGGATGCTGGGCTTAAAAAAAATAATGCAGTGGAGCTTCTGGGAGCTGTTTTAGTACCCCCATGCCATGAGGTTCCCTTCCATTCCCTAAGCCCAGGGGAAATAAACCCATCCTGGTTGCTGGAGCGGTGGCCGGCACGGCGTGTGCCGACAGCAGAGGGAGGTCTTGCATTTTGGAGAGAATGGGGCTCGCACTTCCCGGCCCTGTCGTTCATCCCTGTCCTCTGCCACCGGGCTCAGGGGTATGCAGTGGGTTTCATGGAGCTTCTCCGGTCTTGCCATCAGGGTGCACACTGCATCGCCAGAACTTCCCCTTGCCCCATCACAGTCTCCCTTGGCAGCAGGAGCTTTGCTCCACAGCAGGATATTTGCGATGCTTCACAGGGCCAAAGAAGGTAAAAAGAAGAATTTGCAGCAGGCTTGCTGCTCTGGAGGTGGTTAGCATGTGTCTGTGAGCTCCTTGGGCCAGTCCATGCGGGTCTGGGACTGGAGCCATGCCACGGGCCAGCAGCAGGGCTGCTCTGACCACCCTGGGCTCAGCAGCCGCCAGAGCCCGGTGCTCTGGTGCAGGGTGGGACAGCTGAGAAACCACTGCCGTTTCCAGCCTGTGAATCATTGCAGAGCTTCCTCTCCTCTCTGGTCTCCCGCTCTCTGTCCCCCTTGGGCCAGTCCATGCGGGTCTGGGACTGGAGCCATGCCACGGGCCAGCAGCAGGGCTGCTCTGACCACCCTGGGCTCAGCAGCCGCCAGAGCCCGGTGCTCTGGTGCAGGGTGGGACAGCTGAGAAACCACTGCCGTTTCCAGCCTGTGAATCATTGCAGAGCTTCCTCTCCCCTCTGGTCTCCCGTTCTCTGTCCCGTAGCTTGCTGGCTCACGGGCATGGGCAGGTCAGGTCACTCTCTCCCTTGATCTCGATTTTTCCTCTAGCACATGCAAGTTTTTTCCACGCGCAGTGGTTGGAACAGATCTGATTATTAACGTTTCAGAAAGAACAGAGGAGCAGGCTTTGCTTCTTCAAAGAAAACCACCTCGTTGGGTTCCGCGTACAAGTGCCCCCAGCGTAACCACATCCGCGGCAGGTGGAGGAGCGGGGTGGCACTGGTGAGGCGCTGGGGGAGGCACCTGCGGCAGCACCCAGGCTCTGCCCCCTGCACCACGGGGTGCTGCACCTCTGGACCCCCACAAGAAATGAGGTGGACCTGCTCTCTGTGATTTGCATCCCCCAAGGCCTTTGGGGGCACATTTCCCTCCGCACTTCAGGCTGATCCAGAGTTGAGCAGATGAACACCTGCTGAAAGCCATGGGCAATTCTGCAGCAAAGGCAGGACGGATCCAGCTCCAGAGCACGTGGCTGCAGGGGAAGAGTTTGCAGACGCGTCTCCACTCTGCAGGACTGCGCCTGGCTGGCAGGACAAGCTTCCCGAGCTGTTCCTGCCCTGAGGAAAGGCTGACCGTGAGCTCAGCCCCCTGCACTGCAGCCGTGCCAGTGGAAAGCTTTGCTCCCCACTTCTGCATTTCATACGGGTTGTGGCTAAACAGTAACGTGTGGTCAGCGGGGGCTGGCGGAGCAGTGTGTGGTGCCTGAGTCACAAGAGGCCCGGCTCCACGGGCTCTTTTTCGAGTGGCAGGGCCGAGCGCTGGCTGGGAGCGAGGAGGCATTCCTAGCAGGTCCTGTTCCTCTTCCTCCCGCAGCCACCCGCTGCCGGCAGCTGTCTTGGGCTGGAGCTGAGCATGGCTCCTCCAGCAGGTGCCTGGACCCGTGCCCTGAGTCCTTCCAGTGGGGAAATCCCCACGTGAGCTGGAGGGATGGGTTGAGCTGGAAGCCCAGGCTGGGCTTTTTAACCGCCAGGCCGGGGGGACCACTCCAGCTCTGCTCACCACTCCCCCAGCACCTGCAAGCAAGGCCTGGGCACCTTCCCATGGGCACCTTCCCGTGGGCACGTGTCCCCCAGGAAGCGGAAAGCCAAAGGGAGCATGTGCCTCCTGGGGCCATTTGACCCACGCTGCCATGCCCGTGGGGCAGGCGTCAGGGGAAGGCAGGAGGGAAGAAAACCGGAGTGCAGCTTGCTAGGGGAGGCTGCGCTGCCTGAACCCTGCCCAGCAGCAGGGAGAGGCATGTCCGGGCAGGTGCTCCTGACCCCTGCCTGGCGGGGGGGAGTCAGCAAGGGCTGTGCTGGGCCCATCCCGCTCCTCCACAAATCATTGCCCCTTCTCAGAGGGTTAACAGCCCGCAGCCAAGCTTGCTCCCCCAGCCGGGCTGCATCCCAGCAGTGCTTTGGAGCAGCGGGGCACGGCGGAGGCTTGTCCTGATCTGCCCCGCAGCCCCCAGCGGTGGGGCAGGGGCAGCCACGCG